ATATGAATGGCCATGGTATTGGAACGGGATGTCCAACGTTTGGCCATACGTTCCTCTTAAGCAGACCACTAAAACCGCTAGCGGCCAAACACGACACCAATGGCTCTCCATGAAGTGTACCATGAAGGGCTGACTAAGTCCCATTGGGAAGATCTCCCTTCACTTCCTGCCTCGGAGACAGCGAGAGGAAATCCCTCCAGTAAAGGAAATCCTCAACTGACCGCATGTCCCCGTTGGAAGACGTCCAGTCTAGTCCTGTCCTAGTGAAGACTCAACATTTTGGATCTTCTATCACTTTCTGTCCCGGGGGGGAGTCACCAGGACATAATGAGGGAGTAAATCCCTCCAGCAGAAGCTGAGACAGCCACGGAAAACGAACAAGGGTTCTAATCTCCTAATCTCTCACCAAGTTGGCTTTAGATGCCCCGCGATCCCACGGGGAACACTTAAAATGCCCCTTTGGCTAGAGTAGACCATCGTGGTATTGTTGCCCAACCACGTAGGAAGCAGTAAGGGTGCCACACCAATGGCCAAAGAGGTCATTGGTTACCTCATTGGTAGGTCGAAGAGAGCCAACGCATTTTGGGGGTTCAGACACCCCTCCTCCATCAGGGGTTGTATATAATGTAACCTCATTGGCTGGACACGACTGGATTAGGATGATGGTCATATGTACAAGGTCCTACAACCAGCAGATTCTGATTTGGAAGCCTACAACTCCCATCAGCCACCATGGCAGAGCTCAATGGAGGACACGCATGGAGAAGTCAGTCCAGTGACTACATGCCCCAGCCCTATAACGGTAGCTCCGTACAGACCTGGGGCTGGGGTAATAGTCTGCAGATCGATGGCACAACCAATTGCGCAAAATGAGGCGTCACCTTCATTGAGCTCCACTACGCTTCCCAGGCTTGGCGTTACTTGAGTTCAAGCTCCTGGCCACCCCTCACATCACTGAGTATACGGCCCATAGGAAAGAGCACCACTAGCGGATGGCATAACCCAATCACTGAATCTCTCGGTCATAAAAATCAACCCCTGGTGATCCTACCACGGTGGTCTTTGTGCAGGCACTTCCTGTTACAGGGTGACAACGCTCTGACCGGTCTCTTAATTCAGCTCCAGCGTTGTCACTCTGCCCTGTGACATGGGTGTTTGATGGTGTCAATGCACATTACCCACCCCAAGATATGCCATGCAGTGCATGCAGACAGGAAGTGACTGCAAAGAGGCTGCAGGAGATCACCAGCACTGAAATGTAACAAAGGAAGAAAAAAAAAAAAAGGATATAAAAGAAACAAAATGACAATTGTTACAGAACTCCGGTTCAGGTCC